GCCCGCCGTGCTCGCGGCTGCGCTGCGCGGGGAGCCGGGGGCGAGGCGCGGAGGGGCAGCGGCCCAGAAAGTTTGGTCTTGGACCGCGCTCAAGTGAGGGAGGGAAGTTCCCGGTGCCTCCTCCTCGGCGCGCCTCGCGCTCGCGGAAGCCTGCTGCAGACCCACACAAAGCGAGTTAGTGCCCTCCGCGCGGCGGGGCAGTGCGGGCAGAGGCGCCGGGGCGGCTCCAGTCCTTCAGGAAGGGGTGTCTCTCCGCTCGAGAACGCAGTGCATTTGCAAACAAGCCTTTTCTGTACGTGAGAGTTCACAGACGCTTGATACTTTGAACCAGATGATACAAATGGTTGACAACCGAGGAAAGCAAACAGTTCTGGGCTGCAGACTGCCCTCGTTTAGAAATACATCTGCCACAGAGAGTGCACGCAGCCAGGGTCTTGTAGCGTTTACCTGCGAACAGTTCTACCGCACACTGCTAGGCAGGATAAAGGCATTTGAATAAGGTGTATGTTGACATCCTGTAGAGGGACCCTGATTACTGCTGATACAGTAAGTTGGGATTTAAATGCAATCAACACAAACTCCGTAAGCAACTCTTCATTTGCAATTTCCCATTCTTTCCAGTAAAAAAGTTCATTGCCTCGAAGAGATGCTCCTTGTCGCTACAGAACGCTTTGGAGAGCTGCTTGTCTGGAGCGTGGTCCTGCCTGGGTGGCTGTGTGGTTGGCACACGGTGTGTTTTCCCCAACCTTAGAACCAGATAACTCACACCACGCTTTTAAAATTAGATGTCACCTTCAGGGCTTTCCTTGAGATAGTGTAGGTCGTGTGTGTGTGTGTGTGTGTGTGTGTGTGTGTGTGTGTGTGTGTGTGTGTGTGTTTTGAAAGGGAGGATTCGCTTAGGTCTCCCTCTAGGTAGAAAAGAGTTAATAAAACCAGATAGAGATAATGATCAATTGATAAATGGCTATTGAACCACATAGATGGTGTTAGATTGCTTCTTTGGCACTAGCCCATTTCCAAGTAGATTTGAATCTAAGGACACTTTAAGTTGTAGAAAACATTTGAGTTTATATAAAGTTATGAATGAGGGAAATAATTTTAAATCATTCAGAGAGAGAAACTTGCACAGTTTAAGCTGTCACGATGACTTTAACCCAGCTGTTTGAATATACACAGATTTAATTTGTGTGTGCATGTGTGAATGTGTGTATAACAGAGAACGTCGATGGCTATAAGAGAGTAAAATATGGGCAGGTAATCTACCTGTGATGATACCGTATAAAACTATGTAATGTTAATTACATTATTTATTGAACTGCTAGAATAAAGGGATAAGTTATAAATTTAAAAGGTATTGTGAATGAATTGTACTTAAAAAAATTTTTTTTTGGTTTTGATGTAGTGATTCCTTTTCCCCCCTTTTTTGGTCATAGTTATGAAATATTTACCTTCCATGCATTTTTGAAAAGCATGTAAAAGAGGTTGTAAATTTACATGTGTGTGACTTATTTTCTTCCGTCAAGATGACATTTTAGTTTCTGTAAATGTTGTGTAAACTTTAAATTCAAACTATGTATAAATCTGTGTTTACATATTTAATATGTTTGATTTCCTTATAGTTAGCAATGCTGATTCAGTGTGCCTGTGTATGTGTGTGAGAGAAACATCACTTTTTGATATTTCTTGAAGCCATTAGTTTTGAGGAATGTTAGTTTCAGTATCCACATTAAACAACTGTATGTTAAAGGTTAAAAATTTGTCAGATTTAATCAAGTATATAGAAATCTATATATCTCATTTATAAGGCATAAAGAGGTTTTCTAAATGATTGCTTTAATGTGTAAGTAAAAAATTTTATTCAGCTCATAAAATGAATAAAACCTATTGGGCATATTTTTATTTTAAAAAGTTTTCTTTAGTAGTATAAATTGGGCATATTTTTTATTTTGAAAAAGTTTTCTTTACTAGTATAAAATTGTAGTGATTTCCCTGATTGTTTCTTTAAAAATTAGGAAGACCAACTTTTGTATGGCTAATAAAAAATATTTTAAAGTTTACTTAAAAAAATTTGCCATCAGTACTTAACTGCACAAAAACTTGTGGGAAATGTCTCCTGAATACTGAAAGTTAATCTATGTTTGGATCTTCTACAGGTTAACTAGGAAGTAGGGATCTAAAAATCTGTATCTTTTATGTGAGCAAAATTGGATTTCCTTAAATGTGAATCTTTCATTCTGTCTAATAGTAACAAAAAGCACAGTCTAAAGCCAATTTAGATTTGTGGGATTATGTGTGTTACCTCAAAGTTTGAGATATGACTATTAGACCCTGTTTTCCTTCCTCTACATTTTTTTCTCCCACATTATGATTTTCTCAAAAAGAATCCTTTCTTTGTATACCGATGAGTACTGGTGAGCCTTGGAGGACGTAACTCCTGGTTTTTGTAAAGGGAGTTCTCACATCAGTTTGATCAGTGACAGACAGAATGACCAGCAGCCTTTCACTCTTTCTTTTCTCCCCGGCTCCTACCACCTTATTTCTCCCAATATGACTTAATGAGATACTGTTACAAGAAAAAAAGCCTGTTTCTGGAAGCTTTTTTTCTAATAAGACTTTAAAAGGTGGTGTTCTATTTTTGTACATATTTTTATACATCTGAAAGGATAGCAAATAAAATTCTTGTAGCTATCTCAAGAGCTAATCTGTTTCAAAATCTTCAGAAACAAAACCACACAGGTAAATGGCCATCGTCTGTATTTCACATTTTACTAGACGCATTTACCTTTTATTAATGATGAAGTACATTTAACCTGTTTCAAATAAAATGTAGATTCCTTAATAAGGTCTCTTTTTAGACTCAAATGAAATACTAAGTTAGAATTATAAATGACTCTGTGCATCATTATGTAGTAATTTAGGATTCACCCAATGATGTAACAGAATTAACAACATAATTTCATTGTGAAACTGTGTCTTATTAAAGAACAACGTCTGACATTCTCTTAGAGTTGCTTTATTTAACTTCATGCAAATATTATTAGTAGTGACATTTTTCTATTGTGCATTAGATTCTCTCATTAGCATGATGTGTTAGTTATCACCAGAGAAATCATTTCTTAGATAGGTAAGGGGCAAACCAAGAAAGCTAAAAATTAAATCAGCGATTTACATTAATACCAGAGCGTCTGCTCACCAGAGATATGACAGAGTAAAGCAAACTTTCTTACTAGTATAAAATACAGCACTTTTCAGGGAAATGATAAATAAAATATAAGCAAATACAGCATTGCTTGGATGCTGCATCTATTTAAAAAGTGTGCTCTACATGCATTTTTCTTCCAGCAGTCTTTGGTTCTTGCCGTTATAAAGACAAATAGACTCTGATTCTGTGGGATCTGTATTTTAAAATGAAAATAATGGTTTTGTCTGACTCATAACCCTCCAAAAATCATTTGAATGTTTATTCACTAATAATTTGAAAGGTACATCCACAGTATTTCTTGTAAGTCACATGCATAATTGTACATTGTGTTTTGATTCTTCTTTATAGTTCACACATTTTTATTCTAAACTCTGTCCCACTCAAATGGACATCCCTTTTTAACACAGGATGAATATTCTCATTTAATCACAGCCCCGGGTAAAGTGGTTGATAGTTAATGGTCTTTGAAAACGACTTTCATTGCCAGCATTGTCTATCACCATGTTTCTTTCTGTACTTTTTCTTTCTTCCTTTTTTGCTTCTGTTTGTGTATTTTGGTAAACCTGTCTTACTAAAAATGCATGAAATTGACCAAACTATAGTCCTGATGATCAAAGGAAACTGTATTAGGAGGCATTTAATTTTAGCCTGTTGATTATTAGGCTCCTATCTCAGATTTCAGTCCCTGTCTAATTTTAAGTGGTAACATGTTTTATTTTGAAGTTTTAACAATAGACATATTCAAATGGAGTTCTTAATGTTCATTCTGGTAATGTAATATTAATATTTGGGTAAGTGTTAAAATATAAATTGTAGCATAGAGACAGGTGTTTGTGTTTTGGTCTATACTTTGTAAATCTATGGCTAACTAGCAGATCACTTAACAGGTGACATTGTAATGATTATAATGAGATAGGAAAGTAGTAGGTCATGCACATGTGGTATTAAATGTATATGTACAAGTTAATGCAGATAAAACATGTACAAATATATTCTCAGCTGTATATGTTAGAAACCTCTGTACAGATTTCACATTTATTTTTAACAGGATACATTTAAATGAATTTGAACATAGTAGGTTACTGATTTTTTTTGTTTGGAGACACGGTCTCACTATGTAGTGGAGGCTAGCCTTGAACTCACTGTGATCCTCCTGCCTCAGCCTCCTGGGTGCTGG